CCACTCGGTTAACTCTTTTTTACTTTCACTTATTAAAACAGCGCACAGCTCAGTTCTTCCTGGATTTGGCTAGGTTGGAGGAATGGAAGTAATATATCAAACACCATGAAATAAACTATAGGAAAGTTTTTTCCGGTCTAGCTGAAACCACAAAGTATTGGAAGCCTCCAAAGGGCATCTGATCTTGTGAGATTTCCATCCCTATTTCCAGAGCATTTAAGTAGCTGCTGAGCTTATCCTCATGAAACCTCCCAACCTCTGGAAATGTGCCCCATGGCTCAGAGGAAACTGCAAGTCTCTCTAGGAAGTAAACACAATCCATGCTGGCATCTATCTGGCAGATTCAGATTTCGGTGACACTGGAGTAAATCCAGATCCACTCCATTTCCGGGAAGGATTTCACCGAGGCTCACTCTGGTACCAATGGCAGAGGGCGTGTTATTGGGGAACTCGTCATTTCCTGTTTGCTGAGACGCCCTGAGCTGAGATGTGCCTACTTCACTGTGAATTATTAATATACACGAGTTAGAGAAATAAATCAATCAGTGAATGTAATAACGGAGCTAAAAACATTTGGTAATATGCCCCACACCGTGAAAAGAGGGATGCTGCTGAGATCCCAAGGAATCAGAACAGACCTTAAAGGCTGGCTGAAACTGAGATGAGGACATTTGTAGCTAATAGTTTCCCAGCAGTTGAGAGATAAAAGCATTAAAATAGCTCATTTGAAAATATTACTGGGCCAATTTCATTCCTGGGGAAATGCAATGGGTTTCAATGTAGTTACCTAAGGGATGACGTTTTCCTAATAGACTATAAGTCAGCTACACCCACCATTAATGCAAAGATAATGCTAGACGGTGTCACCTTTTGTCTCTTGGCTTAGTGACACTCCCATTTGCTCTAGTGGTTTTGCACTGCTGCAACTCTCACCCCAGAAACATACTGAGAAACACGACTACGGGGCAGGTGGTACACACACATGCAGTAGGTGATAACAGTATGTTAGCCGGCAAAGTGGGTTTTATTTGGAAGTGGGAGATTCAGCGGCTCGCTGTCTGTGCCGTGCCTGTGCTATCTATGGCTCTCCCAGAGAAAACAGTGCAATAAGAATTGCTATTCAGTTTAAAAGGCTCATCACTGATGGGGCCAAATTATTCAGCTGGAGGAGAGGCACAAGATCCAGGGGAGGAAATAACCCCTAACGGCCGAAGCAGCCTAGCTCAAGAAGGACTTCTCTGCTGGATCAGGAGCAGAAAGGAAATGGAAAGATCGGCATCACAGCGGGTCCCTTGGTCTTGCCTCTGCAAAGGGAAAGTTGGAGGAAGTGCAGGCATAATTTGTGGCAGCAGGCAGAGTGGAATTGCACCAGGTCCCTTGAAAAGCGTTATTAATCTTGCTCCTCAATGGATTAAACCCTCCCCGCCTGTAACCCACTGGACTGTATTTGACATGTTACATAAATGGGAGCATGATCTATCGGGGTTGTCAGGAAACAATCTGAGGCACAACCCCTTGCTAACCATCCTGTGCTATCGCACGCCTTGAGATGGGTAGAGAAGACGGCCGCAGCCAATCTCTCACCCTCAGCAGTGGCAGCTTGAGACTCTGGGGAGATTTCTTGCTTTGCTCCAACTATAAATACAGAGTCAGTGGGGGAAGAAGTAGGCCAAGGAGCAGGTGCTGGGCAACGGTTGCCTGTGCTAACCTAGTAGCTCTTTACTCAGGACGTGCCCCATCCAGTAGTGCGGTGCACTCAGCTGTTGCACAAGACTCCTGCTGTCCCACGGCGGGCCCAACAGTCCCAGCGCCCCCGTCGCTGTGCGCACGATGCAAAACACTGACGCCAATACAAAGATTTGGGGAATTAAATAAACCCCACCGGGGTGAAGCAGACACTTTTAGGGGGAAAATGGGCGTTCCTGTGTGGGTTTGCTGGGGCAGGAAAAAGTAGCTCTGCCTGCTGAATGCAGCCCAGCAGAAGCTTTCTTCCCATCAAGACACGGGGAGAAGAAAATCTGACTGCGTGGCTCCCCCACAGAGCGCTGGCCAGCCACATGTCATATTTCATGCTATGCATCTGCTCTATTAAAGGCTGAGCTAAAATATTAATTAGGAGATGTGATCCTGTCTCACAAGAAGCAATCTGGATTTTATAGCTCAGTGAGAGGCCAGCAGCAGAGACAAAGCTCTGCAATGCACCCTTTGCTGCTGGCTAATAGCTTTCAAGGAAACAGCCCACTGGGGCGGGGAGAAACAGGCTGTAAAACATGGGGACATCTGGGCTGTTAACTATTTTTCCATAGATTTCCGATCTCAACCCTCCGGTACATACATGCAGAACGAGGAGACGCGGTTCCTTAGACATAAACAGCTACAGGACAACAATCGAGATTAATGGGGTGGAACCTGCCACTTCGTAGATAATCCAGGGGGATTTCCATTCATCGCTTTTCATTATGGGGGAATAGTCATGAATAGGTAATGGGACAGATTCCCAGCTGGAGTAAATGGGGGGAGATTCAGCAGAATCAACAGGTGCCCATTTAAACCAGCTGAGAATTGAGCTCTAACAAGCCCCTCGCCTGTGTTTAGGGATAGGATAGGATAGGATAGGATAGCTGCACTATTCCTCTGTGCACCCATCAAAGCAAACCGTTGAGCATCTCCACGTCTCCATCCACCCGCAGTAGGAATCCCGCATGCAGCTGGGCGGTTCGGTACCTAAGAGACCACCACGCAGATGAAGAAATTCAGCAAAAACCAACAAATACCTTTAGAGGCTGCAGGTTTTTGAAGACAGCCTGAAAGACTAGGTTTGGCAAAGCAGTAACAAAGGGAGGACACTGCTTCTGCACTTTCAAGTGTAGATTACTGAGATGGGGAACATCATAAGGAGAAATGGGATGGGGAAAAAAAAGAAACAGGAGCAATATGGGGGTACAGGGATTGCCACAGGGAGGCAAGAGCATCATTTCGTTTCCCGTGGAAAGCAATGGAGAGCTTGGAGATGGAGACCTTTACAACCGTCCTGGACCCAGCCTGTGGCACTGGGTTGAAGGGATCAATGCCGCATTGGAAAGGACTTTAGAGGCCCTTCTTATCGAGCAATTGCTATAGCACCTTAAAGACAGCCTATTAAGCTGAAACTAAAAAGGACACAAGTTGGCCAAGGATGGGGGTGAGCACATGCGTTAGCAATTGCCTTTGTGACATGCTCTCTCTGCATGATATTAAGGCCATGCTGTCTCCGCCTGCCGCACTGAAGTCACATCACAGATCACTCCTGTTCTGACGAGAAATGAGGCTTTTGCATGGAGGAGGAGCTGAGATTAGTCCATACACACCTGCGAGAAGAACAATGGGGCATACAGGAGGACTCCTGAAAGTGGCATTTCTGGGACGAATGCTCTGCCTCTTTGCGCTGTGTAGACACGCCGCCTTCCAAAACTGCTATCCCGCCTCCACAAACTGAGCCCTGGGGCTGCACAAGATAAAAATCCCCCTTCCTGCCCCCCACTCCTTCCGTAACCGGCAAACACGGCAAGAGAAATGCCGCACGCCATGCAGCCGGTGCAGTATGCGGACGCGCATTACAGTCCTGTAGGCCGCCTGGAAAATCTCCCATGCAAATGGCTAATTCATCCTCAGCAGCAGCAAAAACAACCAAAAAACCCCCCGCAACCCCCTGGCATTTAAATAGCAGCAACAAATGTACCCAGGCCCTCTGAGCATGTGTAATGGAGTGAGGAGTCCCGTGCAATACCTGCAAAAAGCCATGGCATGGAGTATTTGTGGCAACCTATGGACTGCGCTTCGAGTCGCAGTCATGGACACCCCAGTGAAGAGTCTGAACCCACCGTGTGCCAAAGTCTTCCTCTCCACAAGCGGATGTAGGAACACAACCTTCAGAGAGCTGGGCCCTACAGCTGCACATGCTTTTTCCATGCTACACCACCAACCATCTCGCTAGGAGAGATGCTCCTGCAGGCACTTCATAGCCTAGAGTGAATGTTCGATGCAGTATTTGCTACTGCCCCCCTCTCCTGCTTCTCACTGTGAGCAGCTCTGGACCGCCATGCTCTTTCATACACTCCCCGGTAGAAATGAACTGGACAACCCACCTCAGGAAACTGTCCTGACCCCTTTGCAAATGAAAAATAAAATCCAGACCCAGGGAAACTTAGCACCATGACCCTCCACTGCGTGAAATGATGGCGCTTCGATAGTCATGACTCTGTAATGCCGATGCACTGCATGTACAGCACGTGGTAGCTGGGCATCATGCAATGCTAACCATCCCTGAGGCTGGGACGGTCATGATCGCTGTGCTCGTCTCCTACTCAGTCCAGCAAGGACATAATATTTAGCACTGGAGGAAGGCTGCTCACCTTCAAAGCATGTGACAACTGGCCCTCAGCCCACAACCTGCTAGTGCTAAGGCAGGTGGTGCTATCACAGTGTTGCAGACGAGGAAGCAGACAGCGTGGTAATAAGAAATCAGAAATCTATCCTGCTCCTTATGTCATATGCACATTATGACATATGGCAATTCCTGGCTCCCAGTCCTGTGCTCAGACCACTAAGCCAGGCTTCCCATGAAGACTGCTTCCAGCTCTCCATAAACCTTATAAGTGCTGTGGGCTGTATCTGCCCAACACGGGGGCTGAGATACAGAACAAGGCTCTACTCGTCTCTCCACGGCCCTGTGCCTTACACAACCATTTATACGATAGGCGTGCATTGCTACCCGGTCAGAAATATGCTCACTGACACTAGCCATAAGAATTTGCATTCGCTCTGCTTTGGTATCAATGATGATTCAAGGCACACGGCAGTGGAGAGTCAAGCGGGAAGCGGGGATGTTTTGTCTTCAAAATTCCTCCTCCTTCCTTTCTCTGTGATAATGTCCTTAAACCAAAAGGACGTGGATGAGCCAGGCATGGCAAGAGGAACAAGAATAAAAGCAAGCCTTCGACCTGTAGCGCCGAGCTGTGCAAGAGTTGGTTTACAGAGTTAGTAACTGCAGACAACACTGACATTAGTTTTCTATTGGAAACCGCTGGGGATATTCGTATCTGCTATTAATGCTGAACTCTGATGGTATCACATAAATTCAAGCCGGCAGTTACCATGGCACTGGAATAAAGGTGCTCTGAGGTCAAGGGGATGCGGTATCCAAACGAGCCTTCAATTCCAGGAGGAAAGAGGCAAAACCAATCTTCAACGCAAGCATCAGATCCATATGTAGGAAAACCAACGGCTAGTTTTAAATGTCATGTTTTTCAAAGCAAGAATTGAGGCTGGAACCAGCTCTATAAACTGGCTGGCTGGACTTTAGCTGCAGCTGAAGACAATCAATCAAAGCAGCTCTGAGCCTCTGAGAACGGGGGAGAGCGAGAGAGAGAGAAGGCGCACGCACATACACGGCGCACACACACGGCTGGGGGCACATTACAAGCCAGGCTAAGCTGTTAAAATTACACGGAGAAATTAGAGCTACCCTGTCCATCTGCAATAGAGCAGCTGGCACCTTCCTTACGGCACCTTGTGAGCGGGAGATCCCACTTCCAAGGGGGCAGTTATGATGGACAGGGAAGCAACACATTTCTTCATGCAAAATCTGTGCAACACGCTGCATCCTTCAGGGATAGTCACCGAAACCCCGACTCTCATCTCAAACTAGGGTAGCACTCCCAAGAGCGACAACCCCAATAAATGAGCCTGAGGACCTCTTATGAGCAGTATATTGGTGCCTCTTACTCGTGCTGACCCTTTGCTGAGTGGAAGAAATTGTCTTCCCCATCACAGCCTTCAAGCGTGTACAGTGAGACCTCTTCACAATCGGACCCTCTGGGCTAGCCCGTGGCTGATGCCAGCTTGGCTACTATATATTGCCCATAGTGACCAGAGGAAAATTGACTTCTACCGTGCTTTACACCCCATCCAACTCCCACTGACTGCACAAAGGCTGAGCTGGGTGTAAATCTCGAATGAATGTGGCCCTGAGAGTCGAAGTGTAGAGATTGACACCATGTTGGTAAGAGCCAAATGGAAATAAGAAACAGGAGATGTGCAAATGTTGAGCTGCTTGCACCTTGCAAATGCAACCGAGAATGTCTCCGCTCGCTGACCGTGGCACAGCGGGACCCGGGTCTACATGAGATCCCAACAAGCCCACCCGGGGCTCCTGGAGGCGGCCCTCCCAGAAAGAAGGTGCAGTGCTGAGATGGCAGGTTTGGAAGGGAAGAGTGCACACACTCACACTCATTCCCACACACGCACACTCGCACACTCTTCCTAGCCACGAGGGTGAGAGGAAAGAGATCAAGGGGAGCAAAGCCCAGGAGGCCTGACAGCGACGAAATCTCTGAGTCTGGAAAGCTGAGCAGCCCGGGTTCTGCTCAAACTTGTGTGAATCTGGAGTCACTCCTGATTCAGCTGAATCAGTAAGAGCAGAGTCAGAAGAGGATTGCCCACCCTACAGTTCGTGTATTAACAGGACAGCAGCATCGTCGAGCCGTCTTTTCCCCGACCGACCAACATCCTCCGGGCTCTTACCCTCCGCTAGCAACTTTTCTTTGAGGATCCCACCCCACAGCAACGAACTCCTGGTGTCCGTGGGAGGGTAGCTTCCTGGGGATGTTTCCCATGCTGAAAGCCCACACTCAGGACACCTGCAGCATGTGCTGCAGCCCAGCTCTGGACGGCGATCAAACTGCACTGCAAGGGAGCTCACGAGTGTTTCAATTGCTGGCGGGTAAGTGCAGAGGATTTCTGCCTGTGTAGCGCGAGGGTCTTGGGACACTTCCCCCCGCACCCAGGACGTCATCCTCCATCCCTACTGTTCCTGCTTGTGGCTCCCCAGCTGTGCATACAGCCCTCCTGCAAGGCTCTCCTCCCGTTGGGGAGGACCGAGGAACTCCTGACTCCGGCCAAAAAAACCTCTCTGAGCTTTAAAAGGAGGAAAAGACTCCCTGCCAAACACTCCTGGGCTCGCAGCCGGGCGAGGGATCAGCTAATGCCTGCTTTACAGATTTCCGCGCAACGTCTTCAGTCTCGATCACCGATGCCTCCAGCTGACGGCAACCTGCGTGGGAAACGTGGCGGCGCTACCGCGGGACGCGTGGCAGGCTGCGGCGGTCTGCTGGAAATGCATCGCAAATACCGTGCACCCGGGTCGCGCGTGCTCTTTGCACAGCGCGGAGGGCAACGTCCCTCCTGGAAAAGACCTGGCTTGACCCACAACACGTCTGGTGCTCCCTTTCCAAGCTGTCTTCCAAGGCAGCTCCAGCACTTGAGCTGAAATCCCTGTTAAACTCTTGTAACGATGCGCATTCAATAATTTCCACGACATTTATGCTTTTTTTTTTTTTTTTGCTTTCTTTTTCTCCTTGAAACCCTTTCCCCAGCTAAGCCCTATAAATATTGCTCGCTGTAGCCTCGCTTATCATTATGGTCATCACCACACGTTCATCCTCATATAAAACAGAAATCTATTCAATCAAGCACTTAACATAAATATTAAAATAACGGGAGGGACAAAATATAACTCTACACACAACTTCATGACTACCATAGCACCTATTACCATGACAAAAGCAAATTCTGGTTGGAGAGGAATGAGGAAAGGGGGGAGGGGGGAGTTAGGAGGGGGATTTTGACAGTCATTAAATATTTAAATCACCCTTGAAAAAATTTTTTTGTTGTCAGGTTACCAACCTTTTAAAAATTCAATTCACTAACCAGTTCACTCTATGTCACTATGGATACCAAAGAACCCTTTAAAAACTTGGGAGAGGTGGGTTTTTGCTGTTAAAAAGAAAACCGGCAACTTTCTCTTGGTGCTGTCATGACAGAGCCCCGCCGCGCGCCCCCTCCCCAGACCCACCGGTCCGAGGAAGGGCAGAAGCGTGTGCTACTCCGCTTCTCAGTCTCCCAGGATGAGTTTGACGAAAGAGGCGACGTCTGTCTCTTTGGATTCGTGCAGGGTGAAGAAAGGATGTTGCTACAAAGAAAGGGGGGGAAAACAGAAAACACTTTAAAATGCAACTCTTTGATCCCAAACAACGCAGCGCCAGGACAGCTTTGCCAAATTCTGCGCTGGGAACCCTGTCCTGATAAAACGCTCCCTTTTTCCCAATGGTTTGGGCAAGGAGGGGAGAGAGGTTTTTGTGCCGGGAGCTGGCACAGCTCTTCGGTTCAGGATCTAGAGCAGGGGCGGGCAATTATTTCGGGCTGGGTTTTGGTAAGCCATTGAGGGCCACGTGACAGGCAGCTAGGGGCAGATAACTATTAATTTTCTACATTTTTTAGGGGCCCCCCGGGCCGGATAGGATGGCCTGGCGGGCTGCATCCGACCCGCAGGCTGCATTTTGCCCAGCCCTGATTGAAAAGAGGCACCTGGGGTCTCTCTAGGTCTGCTCTTCAGTGACTGGCGGCCTGGTGGCATGGCTAAGCCGTGCTGGGGTGGGCAGGGAGATCTACCTACAGCTGCCTGTGCACAATGTGAGTTCTTTCTCTCCAAGTTTCATGGCTTTTGGGTTCGGGGGGTACATGTCATCCTTCCCCCCCAAGATGAGAACAGTATGTGGTACTTCGCTCTCGTTCCGACTACAAGGATGCACGAACGTCAGGGCGATGACAATAGATAGGACCATACACACAAAGGAAAACAGCCGTGCTCCAGGGGAATAGCAGGTGCATGGACTTAAAATCATATTTCGGCCATAGGGAAAAACAGGGAAGGCAGGACAAATGTTGGGCCTGTCCGCTCTGACTCTGTCTCTCTTAAAGCTGGCTTTGCATGTCATGTAGATCACTCCTGACCCATGCAAGAACGACCCACCTTTTATTTTTAGCTTGCTAAAGCATCCCAGCTGACCTAGCCTGGCCTTTTTGGCTGGAGAGACGGGCACGTTCACTGGGGCAGGCTTTCTCAGACGATGATCCCACTGTATTCAATGCAATGGTGTGCACAAGTAAAGCTGAACAAGCCTGGAGCGTATGCAGGGGGAAACCGCACGGGGAGCTTGCAGGCAGGCAGCAGATTTGATTTTTTTTTCCCACCGAGCTTCCAGCCATATTTATTTATTTGGTCTTTGCCCTCTGCGTCTTATTTCTTCTCAGCCCCTGCTAAAGCTCACAGCAGGAGATGGCTACTTCATCCCTAACCGCTCTGCAGAAAGGAAAGCCATACTGGCTGGAAAATGATAAACAGCTATATGTTAAACTACTTAATAGTAACCAACATGTTAAGACATCCTGCCAGAGGCCTTGCCTAGATTTCAGTAAATGGAAAAATGTGTGTGAGAAGGAAGGAAAAAAAATAAACCCAAAGAGCTGCTCCCCTTTGACTAGAAATGAGGTCTAGCATTTGCACCGAAGGCTGCAGCTTGGGGGGTGAAATCGGAGCTTCCTCTGGAGGTCACCGAGATGCTGCTATCTGGATGGGGCTAGAAGGGTTTATCTAATAATCAGCTATTGCTGCTATCATTCATCTGTGCTGAAGGCACAAGTCCCAGTCGAGGATCAGAGCCCCGGTGCATTAAAGCCTGTCGGACGTCTACGCTGCAGCGGTGTGAAGATGCCAGAGGTGCACCCTCCTACTGCCACACGCCGACCCTGGGAATGAGACGGTGATGCCACTCTCGGGGCTCAAAATCTGCCTCTTATGTGCTTGGGGTGTGAATGCAAAGGCTGGCAGTTTGGTTCTTGACTTTTTCCAAAGGCTTCCCGGTGCTCATTTCTACAGATCAGATTTGCAAATGTATTGCAGAGCTCCTGTCGCCCGGCATTTCCGCTCCCATCAGGCTCCTTGCTGCTTTTGAAGGTGCTGCTTATCTGACTCTTTGTGGACCTGAAACCCTTTGAAAATCCAGCCCTCTGAGCTCCATATCTGGAGGAGAGCACAGTCATCCAAGAGCCACAGGGAGGCCGGGTGTCTCTACGCCTTTATTCACTTAGCCAGGAAAGCATTCGGAAATACGTGGTGCAATTTGGCGCTGTTGTTCTAGGAGAACCCCCTGCTCTCAAGGTGTGTTTGCTGGCTCTTGTCTATGGGTCATACTCTGCCCATTGCACTGGATACACCTTGAGATCACACTGCCTGGTGCTTTGTAACCTCGCTCCTGTTACTAATGCAAAGGACACAGGATAAAATCACACTACTTTTTACTAGTAGAAGTGTCCCAAGTTTTTTCCCTGAGGTCACTCTACACCCGATGCAAACCACTTGCACTGGCGCAGGGCCGTACCTCCTGTATCCGTTCTTCTTTTCCATCCGTGTGAAGGCCTGGCTGCAAGCAAGTGCATCGTCTCTCCAAGCCTTCACTCAGTAGCTAGAATAGGCTAGGGCCCCAAAACACGGGTGCAGCCGTCCCGCCATCGCATGGGATGCGTCGCACGGGATGCATCTGACAAAGTGCAAGCCACAGGGGGACAAGGTCCTTTGTCTCACGCTCCGCTTCACCTGGGGGAGTGGGGCCTAAACTGAAGTTAAGCAGAGCCCATCTAGATCAGTTTTCCTGATGCTCAAATCAGTGCGCGCACAGTCAGATTTTCCATGAGAAACCTCAATTCCACAGGAAAGCAAGGAGCAGTCTCAGTCTAAAAAGGCAAGTCCATTCCAGTACCGCAACTTAATACCATGAGAGAAAAAAAAACAACAAAAAAACCCCATAACCACAGAACCTCACAACACTAATGTCAGCCATCAAATACCACAGTGTTGAGATACACTGGAAAGGTGATCCAAAATCCTAATTCAATAGAAACGAGTGCCGCTGCCAGGGGGTATTACGCCGCAGCAGACAGCTCTGCTCCGGTGAACCTTTGTGATAAAAGGCCATTTGGCAAAAGACTGAGATTTGCTTAAAATACATGCGCGTATTTATCCAATACTAAAAAGAAAATGATCTTGGGCCTCCCTTTGTCTCAAAAAGCAGCGTTTGAGCAACGTGCAGTCTATATATAACCCAACGGCATTACAGTGCCTAACAAAAATGCCACCGGACTTGCTCACAACTTACAATTAGGTTATGAAAGGTGCCTAGCCTCTCCACGCAGCGAGCACCAAAGGGGGTTACACAACTTGGGGCTTCTACCCAGCAGGTAATGCAACGTCCCGTATCAGACTGCATCGGCACATACGTTAAAAGTGGGGAGAAAGGCATGTGCATCATTTTTCACTGCTCACCTCCGATGGGAGGAAGAGATGAAGGAATACCGTTTGCCAGCACCTTGCTGTCTGGAGCCCAAAAATGACGCGGCACTGAGAGCGCGGACATGCATACATAGCCAGAAAAAACACGAAGGACTGAGCTCCTCATGGTGTCTACGTGCCTAATTACCACTGATAACCAGTGAGAGTGAGTTACCTAAATCCCTTGAAGAGTCTGGGTTAATATGGAAGTAAAACAGGACATGCAAGAGAGCGCGATGTTAACTCTTGGAGTAGACTCAACTCATTTTTTGTTGGGCTTTGATACTCTGGTTCTGATCCAGACTCACACTAGAGCCTGCATTTATGGGGAATCTCACAGCCAACGCCGTCCTTACCGACTCCATGTCCGGAGCAGTGGCTGAGTTCAGCTCCACGTCCGAACTGCTGACACTTGATCGGCAGGGGAGCGCACCGGACCTCTGCGGCCCATGGAGAAAGGCACGCCGGCAGCTGGGTTGCTGCGCGCTGACCTCCCGCTGTGACCTGCTGCCAGCGTTTTCCTCCCTTTGCTTGATGCTCTGTCCCAGCCAAGCTCAACACCAACATTTTGCACACAGCAGAAGAAATTTGCTCGCTGGATGACCGCTTGGGTCATTCCCACTACTAATAGCCAAAACGGCTTCAGTTCCAAAATCTCCTCTCCAAGGCACCGCGGCGACAGACCTCGGCAGCGCACGTTGCACTCTCTGTCCGCGAGCCACCGTGCAATTGCACAAAGGGAGTTTTGCTCCGGTGGACTTGCACTCACCACACTCATTGCTACCACCTAGCAGCTCCCTCCCTAAACTCTGGTACGTTTAATGCTTCAAGGGCAAAACACTGACCTTAGCTATGCATGTGCGCTTCTCCATTGGGAACTGAGCACCTGAGAGCAGAATCTGGAACTCAGGCCACGGTTTTCAAGAACAACTAATAATTTATGGTGCCTTAGTTTCCAGGTGCCCAGCTCAAGATGCCTGAAAAGAGCCCAATTCTCCTACATTTTTAATGAAGATGAGGTGTTTCAGAAGCTGGGCACCTGCAGTCATTAGTCCTTTGGAAAAACTGAAGCTTTGGCATCTAATAACCATCCCTTTAAATTCCAGCTATAATGCCCCCTTAGTCCAGCCACACTCACCATAAGCTCGGGGTACGTTGGTCGTTCTTTGGAATTCTTCTTCAAGCTGTAAAGAAAAAAAGGAAACGAGTTATAGTCACAGAAATGCTCTATCGAAAGGACAGAATTTAAATCTAAATTTAAATTTAGACCCAAGAATTTAAATCCCTGGGGAATGAGCGGAGCAAAGACTCCATGTCTTAGACCCACAGGGAGCTTGCAGGGAGCAGAGTATGCAGGGAAAGCCGCGAGCGCTCTCCGCTGAGGGACCTGCTTTTGTTTCACACGGACTCTAGTCTTTACAGGGCTCTCAAGACACCACACCTGATCCTGAATAACCTTTCCCATGGCACATCCGTGGGATAAATGCCTTCCTATGATTCATGCGCTCTCATTAGGAACTAAACGATGACTGGATTTCCAGCCCATTGCAAAGTCTTTCCACTGACTTCCATGGCCTTTGAGTCAGGGCACCTCTGTCCCTTCCTCATCCACGTGCTTATTTTGCAAGGCCCCATGTACACTAAATCCCACTAGAGAAAGACCCTCTACAAACTCGGCCTGGCTTTAGCTTGTACAAAGTCCCACCGCCATTACAGGAGGCAGCTGGAAGCCAGAGCCACCCAGGGGTGCCAATCTCACCCTTTGGAAACCTGCTCCATTGCACTATCCCATTTTTAAGCTTTTTTTAAAAGCCCCTCTCTTGCCACGAGCCCCTCTGACTTATCCGCTAAAAGCACCTCTCTTGCCACGAGCCCCTCTGACTTATCCCCTGTTACTGCACTTAGCTTCTCACGCTGCAGATCCATCCCCCACCCGTGGCCTCAGCAACTAAGGCTCATTCTCCACGTGGCCAGGCCTAGGAGTCCCCAAAACTTGTCTCCCCAGCAGGTTCGGTTCATGACCAGGTGACAAGCCCAGAACGGGCTCGGCAAGCCCCTGGGCTGAGTCAGGATTCCTCGTTCCCGCAGCCGGTATCAGCTCAGTGTAAGTGGATGGCAAGTTATAGCACATTGTGCAGTATGGCAGCAAACCCCTCTAGCTAGGTAAGCACTGGCTTTCATATGCATGAGCTGTATTGCTCAGAAGAGACACGGGGCACCAGCTGCAAAAACACAAGGGCTCCTTTCTAGCTGGCAGTCTGAGGTTTATCTCCTGAAGCCCCAGCATTGGGCTCCCTTTAAGTGGGCCAGCTATCATTAACATAGCAGCATTTGTTTCATTCTCCCATTAAGCCTTGCAAAACCCCTGTGTGGGACATAAGCACTGGGCACAGACTTGCTCAGGTGAAACTCATTCAGTGGCAAAGGTAGAAAAGGAGTCCTGGTTCCTCCAGGTAGATCCCTAGACATACTAGCTAGTATGTGGCACGTCTCTCCCAGCCGTACCAATGCCCTGCATGTAGGCTGTAGGTGAGAGGGCAAAATTGGGGTTTGATGCAACAGGTAGTTCCTTCAGTGCAGAGACGTACAACCAAAGGGCTTGCAAGCACACGTACGGCTGCACGTTCACCGCTGCGCCGGCAGTCACGTGGAACATCCTTTTTTCTCCTCTGTTACAACAGATGGCTCGGGAGGGTAAGAACAGGCAGGTTATTTTGGTTTCCCTCGAGCAGAAAATAGCCTTTAAAGACAGGACGTAATCTCTACTCATTTCCCGCCGGTGTATTTATGGGAAGACACTTGGAGCGACTTTAAAAGATCTTCACACGTACACACGTTAGTGACGGGGGGTTGGGTAAGTGTCACACCGAGCAAAACAAAAGTGAGAACCTCGGCTCTGATAAGCGGGTGGTCTGCTGGGATTTGCCAGGCCCTGAGGAAGTGGAGGATGCACGCGGAGCAGATATTTCCTGTCTCTCGCTGCGCGTGGTTCATTCACATTTAACTGTCATGCTGTACAATAACAGAGGATGAACCGTATCGGTGGGACCCAGCGGAAGATCAGACTTGTCATTTCCTTCAGGCCCAGCGATGGCCCAAGCTGAAGGGAACTTCAAAGGTTTGGGCACAGAGCTCGAGTCCAGGTTTCTCTGAACTTCGATCTTTTGTTAAATAAATTATAATTCTGAGTTACTGAACTCAAAAGTAATCTTAAACAATGAAACCTTTAAAAACCCACGGTTTAACACTTCTGTCCTAGACTGCGCAGAAATGAAGAACCAGTAAAGGCAGGTGCCTGAGGCTTTTCTTTTGTTGTGGTTAATGTTTTGCATGTTTTTCACTTAAAACGAGTGCCCTACCTATTCATGCCCAGAAATTAAGGACCCTACCCTGCTCTCAGACTCCACGGACCTATAAACCAGCCTAAAGACAATCTGGGTCTCAAATTTAGAGGGGTTGAGCCGAAGATGCTGCTGCTATGCACTTCAAGTACTCTGCAAGAAACCTGTGTATTCTTCTGCTAGTCTTTGATGATAGGGTTACAGAAGAGCACCCAAGCACTCCCTGGTGAAGGAAATGGCAAGACATTGCTGTTGTTTAACAGGGGTGACTATTATGATTGTGGATTTCCTGCTCCAAAAGCTGCCGGAGAAGCCCACGTGACAAGCCCCGAGAAACGCTGCTTGCAAATCAAATGTCTCGGCACTCTGTTACTGCAGAAATCCTTGCATGTGCCAAGCCCCCCTTGCTTTTGTCAAAAAAGTGTGCAAGACGGAGCATAGGAAATCTGTCCAGGAAACAGACTTTCAGGCTTAGGCTTGCAAAAAAGCCTGGATGTGTTAGTGTGTATATGTGCGCGTGCGTGAGCTCCCGCCTGCTGCCGGCTGGGAATGAACCTGCTGCACACAGGGTGCAAAAGATACTGATTTTAACCAAAAAAAGAAGGAAAAGGGTTACAGGAACACCTGGCTCCTTGGCTACTCTGAATGAGCTTCCAGAGAGGAGCCCAACACGCTGCTTCGAGTCCAGCGAGGTGGCTGAGAAACCTCTTTCCTGGGACACAAGCAGATCAGGCACCAAGCCCTGACACTGAGCCACTGGAAGCGTCTCGCATTTCTGCATCCGTCAGCCTGTGATCCTGCCGTAGCGCCCACGCAAGCTGCCATCCACCCACCTGCCAACTTGGCAAGCAGCAAGTGGCCCTGCAGTGCCTGGAAAAATAAAGTCACCTCCTGGCTGATTTTGAGGGAGTTTGGAGGAAGAAGCTGTTGCCAGATGCTTCTAAACAATGCACCGATGGAAAAGGGCAATGCTGAGTTTATGTCAGGGTACAGGGAGGGTCTCTTGTTTTTAAGAAGCAAGGTTTGCACCACGCAAGGCTGCTCCACTCTTTGAATCCGAACCTTTTATCTATCACGGAGGCCAAATTCCCCCCCTGCACTCCCATGGAAATCAGTGCAGTTGCCATAAAGGAAAGCACAGCTCGGCCTCTGGTGCAGACAGGGTTGAGGTCTGGATCAATCCCCTCTAAACCATCCCTCTCCTCAGCCAGGCTCGCTGGGGAAGAGCTTCCCACGAGGGCCTACAAGGCTGGGGAGGCAGGGGGTCGCTCCAGGTCAGCTCTCCGTTTCCTCAAAGCCTCAGGAAACGGCCAGTCTCAAGCCCCTCTCATTTTCCGTACTGGAGGCCTCAAGGGAGACCCACTCAGACCCAAGTGCCCATGCACAGGAAGAGGGGAGCGAGCTGCTGATGAGATGGGCCAGGAGTGCATGCGTTTCTGAATCTTCTCTCGGGTAACCACCTGCGGGGCCGGGTCGCAGCTCTACGTCGACAGCACCAACCAAATGACCTGTTGGGTTGTTGAACCGTTCATCCAAGACCTCGCTGGGCTGAGACGTTCACTTCTCCCTCCTCTTCTCCAGGGAACAACCCCAATGTGAGGACAGGTGCCATGGAGGTGGGTGCCCCCCCAGCTGCATACCTTATGCCAGCTTTGCCAGAGAAGACAAACAATTTGCAAGCTGCAATGCAATTTTCTGCTGCTTCCACCTGCATTTCTCCTTTGTGGCTAGGATGCACATAACCCACTGGTTAGTGGGATGGGGTGGAGAGGGGTGCATGCAGCACAAGTAAAGAGCCTTGTTGTTCAGCTAAAGCAGTGCAGCGATGGTACCTCCGGATGCCTGGGGATCAATCCCCGGTGTTGTCCGAGATAGCATCCATCCCAGCCCCATGACATGAGAACTGATGACAGCAGCAAAGGGTTTGAGATCAGAGAGTCCTAAAGAAGCAGGCCCGGAGGGGACTTCCAGAGGTTATCTAGTCCAACCCTCGCGCGAGGCAGGAATATCCCTATGCAAACCATCCTATGCAATCCATAATTGTAAGCAGTTTCCCACAGTGCAATAAGCAGTAAGGACCCCATCCACACACCAGGCCAGCAGGATCCCAGGTTGGCTCCAGGCCCAGGGCATGCAAGGCAGACGGCCTCACGTCTACTTTGACCTATGTAACATAACCAGCCACAACGCCTCTTGCTCTTTACCTGGTGAAACGAGAACGTATCAAAGATGCACATTATGTGCAGACAGCCTGACCATATAGTACAGCTCTGGATCAAGCTCCCTAAAAAGAGGGGGGGTAATTTGACTTTCACTGCCAGGACAAGGGGGCACAGGAGGGACCCGCTTACCACTGCGAGGTAAAATCAACGAACTCTGCAGAGAACTTGTCTGCCGGGAGCTGTGGCGAAGGCTCCTCTACCACCTGCTTGAGCTGCTGGAACGGCGTTCCCCACGAGTCGTACGGAAACCTCAGGATTGCCAGCTCGATCTGGGAGGGGAGAGAGGGGCAGAGGTCAGTGATAACTCCTACAGCCTCGTGGCTTTAACTGGCTAGCTTATGACCTTTGTCATTCATAGATTCACAGATGTTCGGGTCGGAAGGGACCTCAGCAGGTCATCGAGTCCGACCCCCTGCATAGGCAGGAAACAGCGCTGGGGTCAGATGACCCCAGATAGGTGCTTGTCCAGTCTCCTCTTGAAGACCCCCAAGGTAGGGGAGAGCACCACCTCCTTTGGAAGCCCATTCCAGCTTTTGGCAACCCTTAGGGGTAATAAAGAAGAATGAATTAGAGCAGACGATTTAATCCTCCTCTATTACTAATATGCCCATTACTGGGGTACATTGTATGAGCGCCACGCTCTGACTCCCTAGAGGGATAAGACTGGGCTGTACGCGGCTCCTTCATCCTCCGAGCCTGGTCTGACATCCCTCCCAGGCCAGAATGAAATAAGAGCAGGGTTGTTTAAAAATAAGCATGCCAGACTTCAGCTGAGGTAGACCAACCTCCCTTTTCCCATCCAAAACGCTTTGATTTTTTCCCCCCTGCCTTTTGTCTCAGGTTGGTCAGAAATGTGGATCCTGAATTTCCACTGCCCTATACCTTGCGCTGGCATTTGCACGGCCCAGCACAAGGAAGTAGAGGATTCGCACGGCCAACGTCTCACGACTCATACTTGTGGTCCAGTCGTGCCCAGTCCATCACAGACCGGAGGCCCACGGTGCTCGTGGCCAGACAAGCAGCAGCGGCCTTGCCCCAAGGAGCCTACAAGCTGGTTACAATCACAATTGCCTAGTTTTAATCCTTCCTTCCCCTCTTTTGCTGTGCGAACCCCCCTACCGCAAAACGCCAGGTCTTGAACTAAACGGGAGGAAAATGAAATGCAGAAAGCGAACAGCGTTTTCCTTGTCCATTCTCCTGTAGGAGTCATCCAAAACAATCAGGAGGTCCAAAAATTCAGCCAGTAGCCTAATTCCTAAAATGCCTTTTAACGCCAGTATGCCTGCCTTTTAGGACAGGCCATCACTCTCTGATTTTTGCTGGCTGCTAAATGCTGAGAGTGTTTGTTTGATTCATGGATTTATTTGAGGCTGCACATTCAGCATTTCAGGTGGTTCACCAATGTTAGCCGATGCTGCCATCAGCTGGGGGCTTGCCGAAATTACGCTTGATTCCCTTTTAAGCAGGTTTTGACTCCGCATTAACAACCTTGGGCTCAGCTGCGCCTTGAAGGGACAGCCCAACTCACTGTGCCTGTGGCCCAGGGATAATGCAACGGGTTTGTTCTGCTGGTTTGAACTGAGATCAGCACAGCCCATAGTCCCAGAGGGAAGTCTAGGACCTGTTGCAGCGCTAGATGGGTTTATAGGACAAAGGCAGCAGCAATTCCTGACTGCCTCGGAGCATTTATCTGCACACTGAGGTAGGGCTGTGCTAACATCCCTGTTTTACTAGAGGGAAACTGAGGCACGGAGACCAAGTGACTTGCCCCCAGGCAGAGCACAGAATTAACCCTGAGACTTCCAGTTCCCAGGCCTGTACCCAAGCCTGGGAAGAAGGAAGATAAGAGCAGCTCAACTGCATGTCAGGCATGCCAAACCACATCCTGGGCAGGTGTTAGTTGCTTTCTTTCTTCTCCGCTCTGATCTTTCCTCCTACAACTCTCTTTTCTGCATAGTTAATAAAGACCCTCCTGCTGATCTGGACAGAAAAAGTTTCTCACTGTGGTTTAGGGCTAGACTGCAAGACTGAGCCTTTAAAGCAAGAAGAGCACGATGGGATGGCTGCTGTCGATATAAGGCAATCGCGGCATTTGACTGAGGGTACCTGTGCTGCAAGGTATTTGGAGGGAGAGATTGAAGGAGGGTGCTAGAGGACAAAATGTACTGGATCTGCTTGTTCGCACTGGTGCTGGCATTTCTTTTACAAGGAGAAGCATCCTCACGGTCCGAGAATCAAATTTGGAAATCTGGGCCTCGCTGATCAAGGACGCCCATTCCAGCAGGGCCTAGGTCAGGGGTGGGCAAGATGTGGCCCACGGGCCGGAGGCTGCCCGCCAAGCTATGGGGGCTCCTAAAAATTTAGAAAATGAACATGCATCTTGGCTGCCTGTCATGTGGCCCTCAATGGCTTGCCAAAACTCAGTAAGTGGCCCTCCGCCCGAAATAACTGCCCGCCCCTCGCCTAGGGGGGTGGTGAGCGCACAGTGAGATTAGAAAATGAGCTGCAGCTTCTTTCTCCTTTACACTACAACACGTCATGAGTATTTGGGACAGGAAGAGGTGAATACGTCCCCTGAAGGCCCACGGGGAATGGTGCTATGGATCTCAAGAATATAAGCATGAGACTATAAAACCCTTAAGCTCTGGTAGCTTTTAGTGCTGTCTTACCATAGTGATTCCCAGGCTCCAGATATCTGATTTGACGCTGTAGCCTTTCTGGTTCAGTTCAGGGTTTATTCTTTCAGGCTGGAAGGAGAAACGAAGAGAAGCTGATTACAAGCACAGCTTAGGCTCCCTTCCCGTAAGGCGGGGTGACCCCGGTGCTAACACCACGAATGCCCCGAACCAGCACTCACTGCTGAGCTGGATCCTGGAGGGGAGCACACTTGGGCCATGGGTTTATTAAAACTGAATCTCCTCTCTGCTATCTTGACTGGATCTGGCTTATCTTCTCTGTCTAGTGGGGACAAGCACCAAGGCTGGACACTGGGTTATATCCAAGGAGGTAAGACAGCAGAAGCTGAATCCCAGTCCCTGATTCCCAGGGTTCAGATCTGCCCAGGAGGTGGCAAGCCCAGTTCTCCAGGACCTTAATCCTCAGGGAACCATTTATACTGGTTTTTCCACTGGGCAAGCACAAAACAGCTGCTACCGTGGGGCTCTTTGTGATGCTGGGCTCCCCTGCCGGGGCATAACGTACGCCACTTTTGAAGTGGCACGTCTGCGTGGCTTATGTGTCTCATCTTGACGCTGCTGGTGACCAATGCTCCCTATTGGTTTATTCCCATCAAAAGACCATCATTGTCTCCACTACACCAATAGGGAAACTGAGTAAAGACCAAATGCAACTTTTTCAAGGTCACATAATGAATCACCCAGGAGTCCTGATTCCCAGGCTTGAGCTGTAAATAATTAGACAAATAACTAGCGAGACCCATCTTAAGTGAGTCATCGAAACAAGGGTTGTTGGTTGTAGCTGTGTTGATGATCCCTATGCCTGAATAAGGTTGTTTGTACTCAAAAGCTTGCAAATAAGTTTTTCCAACTATTTATTTTGTACCCAAAAGCTTGCAAATAACATTTTTTCCAACGATCACATTTATCCAAAGAGCCTTGTCTGTCATCAAAACAACGCATTGGAAGTTGTTATCTTTCAGGCCTCCTACATGTAGGTGATCCATCCCCAGTTTCACATGCTTCTCTCTGTATCACAGCAGTTTCTCATGCATCTTTCCCAAGCATCTCAACTTACCGCCATGTAAGGTTTGCATCCTGCATCCATGGTTTTAGCAACAGAGTCAACGAGGTAACCGCTAATTCCAAAATCACACATTTTCACCTGCCCCAGTGCATTGATCAGCACGTTGGAGGGCTTTACATCTGCAAGAAGGAGCACACACCGCCGTCATGATCACAAACACTCCTCACCCCACCATTTCAGAGTATAACCAGGTGCAAACTTGGTTAGTTAGCTTCCTACCGCTGCAGGGCACTCACTCAAGGTACCAAAGCAGTATCAGAGGGAGGGAAGCTGGAGAAAAGACAAAATGGCCCAAATCTTCAAAAGTGGACTCTCAGCTGGTGCCCAGATTTAAAATAGGATGGAGCCAAACCAAAGGTGCTAAGCACCGGCAGCTCCTAGCGACTCCAGCTGGGGTTAAAATCACCCAGAGGTGATGGAAATCGGGCCCAAAGTGGCTTATTGCCCATCACACTGATTTGACTCCCATTATAGTATCTGAGTGCCTTATCTTCAACGCATTTATCTTTGCAACACCCCTGTGACTGTGAGCCGTGCTTACAGATGTGGGAAACGTGGGCAGAGACAGAGAGACTGTGTGACTGATCCAAGGTCATGCAGGATATCTGTGAGCGGGTCTCCCAGAAAACGAGTTAACTCCCTCACCATGAGCCACGCCGCCTCTCTGAACGCACCTATCTTCAGAGGCCACTTCTGAAAAAATCTGCTCTAAATACATATAATAATACAATAGTCAACGGGGGCTGAAGCTGGTGGCACGCTCCTCCTCATCGAGGCATTGTGGTACATGGCTGATTGGCCTCTTCTCTCTACTCAGGGCCGTGCGATCAAACTGTTGGGAAGCTTTTGTCTATTATCCCTGAATGACAACCTTTCAACTGAAATCACACAAACAACCCTCTATGAGCCACGCAGAATTTTCCACCCACTTTCGGCGATCCAGAAGGCAGGATTTCGACCCCAGGCAGGCTCGTTAGAGGGAGATCATGAGCGGCTGTTAGTTTTGAACTCCTTTCACTTCAAACAACTCTATCCCCAGCAGTCACTCTGCAGAGATGGGGGGTTTTTTCTTTTCGTGACATACGGAATACAGTTTTTAAAATAAAGGTGCCAACCAGCAAAAGAGCAAGATAGTTTCCTTTTATGTACGTTCCTGGCATCTGCGTGGAGGCAGTTTTTAAACTCTCTTGACACTGTCCTACATAGCTGCTGAAATGTAGGTGCTTTAAAGAGACCAGAGGGATTTTGAAAACCAAAGCCAGACAGAAATGCCACATCTGGAGCTTGAAGCCTGCAGAGCTGCGTAAGTCAGGACATAAAAATCACTGTGGCATTTAAGAGGAAGAAAATGCATAACAAAGAACAATAAAAACAGTAGCAGAAGTGTTTAAAAATAAATAATTAAATTATTGTCATTATTAACATTATCATTGCAGTTAGCACCTAGGAGTCCCTTTCAGGGGTCAGGACCTTCACTATGTTAGGCCCTGCACAAATGCAGAACAAACACTGTTTTTGTGCCATCACCATCTCTGGTTATAAGTAATATAAATAACACAGATAGAAATCAGGAGGTTTTGAAACAGGCTTTATAGCATTTATCCCAAGACCACCTCTTCGTATTACTCAGCACTGACAATTTGGTTGAAAATCCAGAGATCTGATGAGAAAACTTGGTGTAGCCCTCCCGTTTTTCCCCCTACCTGCTATATCCTAAAGTGGGATTCTTAAGCTAAGGTCATCTATGTCCAAGTCTCCCATGGGATAAGCTGCTGATCTAGCCTGCACCTAAAAGTCCTGGCTGCATGAGACTGGGCCCAAATTAGGAGGTGCCACCGGGCTTAATGTAAATGCTAAGGGCATGTTCTGCATGGGGAGGCATGATCCCAAACCAGCCAAAAGTCCAAGAGCTGGGAACCCATCCCATTATTAGTCAGGTGCACCTCTGCTAGTGGGTGATGGGGAAGCAAATTATCTATTTATTTTGCCAGCCAGTAGAGGCTATTTCATATGTTCAGCTTCAGTGGAGATACGCTGAGCAGCACCCTCTCCAAGACACCTGCACATCCTGACTCTACTTTTCCTTACATGTTTTGGGCTACACGGCCATAGCCAAGCCCTTGTTTTGGGCTACAAGGCCACAGCTCCCAGCTCTAGGCTGTGAGGCCACAGGATTTCCCCCTGACTTCGGGGGCACCTCCCCAGCTCTGAGAATAACCCCCACAAGAGGCAGAGCCAGAGGCTAGGCTCAGTGGGAAGCAGACACTGCCAAAGCACGCGTGAGCTGCACTTACCTCTGTGAATGACGGAGAGTTTGCTATGTAGATGTTCAAGCGCTTTTACAATCTGAAACACAACAAATCCAGAGTGAACCAGGGCTCGCAGAAGCCAGACAAGGATGGACCAACGGGGCTAGCCCACACCAAGCCTCCTAACCCCAGCGCTACAGCAATGGGTCGAAGCTTGGGGGAATAATCTAGGAACCCCCTTTCAGCAGTACACCGCTTCATCATTTAAGTCAACTGGCAGATGTCCGGGTATGGAGAGCAGATAGATATAAACTCAGGTTAAATATTGAAAGCCAAGCAAGAATTTGCATGTGAGGGCTGGTTTCTGGGTCAGTGCAGAGATGAGAGGTCCCCAAGGGTGAGGCTCAGAAGAGCAACAGCACCCTGAACTCCACTTACGGAGACAGCTATTTTCCCTAGGATGTCTTCTGGAATCGTCAGGCCTTTGTCGATGACGTGTTTGTAGAATTTGTCCAGGGAGGTATCCATCAGCTCCATGCAGATCCACACGTCTCCCTGGAGGAAAAAACGGGGAATCCTTACCAACTGGAACGAGTCATCCCTTGGTTGTATGTGCGGGTGACTTCTGTAACGCTCCCACTGGGCTTGTCCTCACGGTACCTTATGCAACCTTCCCCCAGTTTCTCCACTCCCCTTCAAGTAAGCTGAGGTCAAGCGCAACGTGCCTGATGTATTCATGCACGACTGCCCAAGAGGCTGCACTTTGCAAATCCCAGAGTTAGAAATCAGATGTTGGTTGAATTCTCTGGAGGCCCTTACAAGAGTTAGGAGCCTCAAGTCTCACTGAAAGACACTGGCTGCCTTTCCAAAGAATGGGCTGCAGGGTCTCTGAAATGTGCCACAGGTCCGTCATGCCATCGGAGGGCTCTTGCAGGAACTGTGTCCTGTGAGCTGCGAGTTTTCGGTACACACATCGTAACAGAAAACCCACCATCGATAGATGATGCGGAGATGGCTTGCCAGGTCTTTCCCAGCATCTATGGGGCTTAGCTCTCTTCTGAAAACAGAAGCCCCCCGAGCATCAGGTGGAAAACGCCTCTTGCTAGGGACCGCGACTCTCTGTACCCCTCAGGAGCAGGGCACATGCTAATAGTGCTCTATCAAAGTAACAGGACACTTCAAAGATACTTGGTCCCAACAACGAAGGGCATGGTGTGAGATCCAAGATAGCAACCAACTTACAATATGTGCCAGCCTTCAATCTTAGGTGTGAGCTCCGTGGTTGTGGGGATGGGCGCTATTAATAACCTAAGTACCCAGCAGGAGAAGAAGATGGGCAGGTATCCAAAATGGGCAGGTATCCATCCAAGATGGGCAAGTATCCATACCTCTCGAAAGAGAGCCCCATAGAAGGTGACAGTGAAGGGGCAGTCTACCGTCCTCATGGAGATGTCCAGGTCCATCAGTAACCTCTTCTGCTCCTGGCTATTCACCGTGGCTCGGATCCTCTGGAAGAGAGAAACATGTTAGCACTCCGCAGTGTCCAACTTGCAGGCTTAAGCTTGAAGGTGGAAATACAAGGTGCGTACACACGCACCAACTTCCTGACAGCTAAGCCAAGTTAACTTTTTAAAGTCGACTTAAATGCAGCATAAGATACTACTTCTGAGGTGTGTTATCTTGAGTCCCATTAGTTAAGTCGACTCTGCTCCAGATGTGTGTACGCTCTGACAGTTAAGTCCACTCAGCTCACAGGATGGCTGCTGCCATGTCAAGGAGCTGTACGTGTGTATGGTCCGACGCGGCTTAAGTCGCTTTAGTTAAGTCACCTTATTTTAAGTCCGCTTAGTACGTGTGTACGCACCCACACAGGGAAAACTGCTTAACGCCATTCCCATGAGATGATGGCGGTTACTTTCTTTTCTGAAATGCTTCTCCTTTCCACTACTTTTTTACAGCACCTAAGAAACTCTGTGCTCTAGGGGGTTGAACAGGAGGACTAACTCAAGGCAGGGGTAAATCAGTGGTTTATACTAGCCCAGAATTTGGCCCTGAGAGTTCTGGGTTCTAGTCCTGTCTCTGCTGCATGGCTGTGGCTGGTTCTCAACCTTTTCAGCCTCAAAGTATCAGGGTGTAGCCGTATTGGTCTAGAGGATTGCCTTTTCAGGCTCAAAGCATTCCTAGGAAAATGCCAGCTCTGAGCTTTCACTTGTTTTTTTGACTACAGAAAAATAATAGAGCCATTCTTCTGTGGCAAAGCACTCAGACTGACCACAACAGGGCAGAATACTTTTGGCACCGTGTGGATTCCTGTTTGAAAACTCTGAGTTGATTGTGTGAATCATGCAGGCACTTGCAAACCTAACCGTGCTGATACTGTGCAGCATCTCGTGGCACCCTTAACTGGACTTTATGGCACGCCAGGATGCTGCAGCACCCCAGTTGTGAATCACTGCTTCCTGGGGCAAGAGTTTCCTGTCTCTCAAAGCAAAACCAGAGGCCACTTTTAAAATTTGGTCTCTGCAAATTTAGAAAAGTCTAAGTCGACTTTAGAAAAATAGGTAGGAATAAGCCCCCTTGCAGTGGTGAGGTAGGATTTACTTCTGTGAACTGCTGAGACATCCTCATTGGAGGAAGGGTACAAGATTATCGAATCTCCCTCTTCCCTTTCATGGGGGAAAGCCTCTGCAGCAGCTGCCAGCCGTAGCATGAGATGCTCGTATAGTTTTATGAGCTGACACAGCTCCACATCAACCAGACACAGATACTCTGAGGCTCTTTGGTCAAAGCCACTGGAGGCTAATCATGCATCAGACTTAAACCGCTCGAGCAACTGGGATGAAAGTGCGCGAGAGCGCTGTTCCTACCGTCCTGCCCAACCGCATCCATCCCCGCTTTCAGAGGGCTTTGCAGCCTGGTGGCTACCAGGAAAAATAAAACAGAGCAGACAAAATATAACAGATGTGGGTTCCCGGATTACTTCTTGCTCCACAGAAACTGGGCAAGGCTTGTTACGCTGGAGGCAGCGAGGACAAGCTAAGAATTGCATTTCCCTTCGCTTGTAAAGCCTTGCACCTTTTTTCCCCATATTTTAAATAATAGGTAACTCTGAGCTCACATTTGGCCTGTAATATATAATATAATATAATATAATATAATATAATATAATATATTGCAATACATTCCAGGAGCCCTTGTCATGAAGCAAGAACCTCCTTCCATCCCAGTGTGCCAGGGGCTGCACAAACACATACCAAAAAGACGTGTTTCTAGCCCTTTTAGGGCAGGAACCAAGTCAAAATGACGTGTTGACTTTCTGTGTCTGGGCTGGGGGAACCCAAAGAAAAACAAAATAATTGCTAGAATGGATCCGTGATTTCTGCTTTAAAACAGCGGTTATAAAACAACCCTAGGACTTGCACTCTACCTTTACCGCCATGATCTGCCCGCTCGGCATGTGCCTCATCTTCTCCACCACCCCGTACGCGCCTCGTCCCAGCTCGGAGATCGGCTCTAGATCATCGGCCTTGACTTCAAAGTTCTGGAGAAGGAATTGGGAGGGGAGAGGGAGGAGCAGGAGGAAACACCGTGAAAACATCGAAGGCAAGAGAACGGAGGCCACCGGTCTTCCCTTCT